GTGCACACACAGAGGCAGAGATGGGACACAGAGAGCAGAGCTGTCAGGCAGTGATTGTCAGGGGAGCTGACGGTGAGCGTGAAAGCTGAGCGTCCTTCTCCATCACTATTTCTGTTAGTACTCCGAGCGTGGAGTCAGACCTGGACCTGGAGCTGACCTCCAGGCTCTCGTCGCAACGGCCTCGAACAGCCTTTATACGGGAAGATGGAACAAGTGTCAGTACCACAGTAGTATATCCAAGATATTAAATATGATTAATGACAACATTAATAACACATTAAAAGACTTGATACATTTAAACATAATGAAAATAAACCATCTGTACTTTATTAAAACAGTATTGTTTTATGATATCTGTGTAAAACTGACATTGTTTTATGCTGTAAAATCTCAAATAATGTATATTAATAGTATGTAGTAGTAATAGAAGAGGTAGAGGTTGTTTCTTCATCATCTTTTCTCTTCTTACTTCTTTTTTATCTCTGTTTTGAATTACTTTCAGAGTTGCATCTGTGTCTGTTCATGATTTCTGTCCACTATTCATTGTTTTTTGTTTTTAACTTATGCTGCGTGGTGAAACTAATTAACTTATCGAAGTATCCTAGGATGTAAAAAAAAACAACCTCAAACTGAATTTCTATGACAACAATTTGCAATTCTTTTTTTAAACAGATCTGTTAGCATCCAGTCCCTGGAATAAACAGAACTTTGTATTGACTGACCTGTGTACATAAACATCAGAAGAAAATATTATTTGCCTTACATTTAGTATTTACAGCAATTTACAGCATGTTGATATAATCATGGCACATTTACTACCCTGAGGGTCATGTTTCTTTACTAGAATAGCAGCTCAGTGGTTTGGATCCATACTGTATGAGGGAGGGAGGCTTGTGGTTCTGTTGCATTCATGATTTTTGTAAAATTTTAAACCTACCTACAGTATACGGTAGCGTCATATTAATTAAGTTATTGGCCATTTTAAAGCTTATGAAAGCTTGGTTTCAAGTCTTAAAGTATTTATCTATAACACTGTGTATTTAAATTAAAATAAAGCTAGGTAGCAGAAAAACAGAAAAACTGCCATAAAAACAGTAACAAATGTGGATAAACTCGATGTATGTTGTTTTCAGTCGACTTACAGAAATAAAAGCTCTTACATCGTCAATTTCACTGACTGTCATCAAAAAAAGTTTCTGTTTTCTGTGTTCTGAACTGAAAATGACATTGGTGGGACAGATTTGTCCATGGCTACTGACTGACTGGTCACTGCAAACCAAACCAAAATAACCAACAAGAAAACACGCTTGAACATGGTGTCACGCTGAATGAATGAGAAGAAACAAAATGGCAAATCATCGACAGAGACCGCCCTCTTCAAACCAGTGAAGACAGAAAAAACATGAAATACAGAACTCTCTCATGTGAATTATCCGGTATCTTTCTAATTTTGGAATATAATAGTTGGTTTGTACAAAAACATCAATTTAAACATAATAATAAAATCACATTAAAATGTAATTCTAAATGTATTAGCTTCTATTAAATCATACGTTAACCCTAGCTCACTTTCTCTTTCCTTCCTCGTGCCACTGCCTCCTGGTCAGACCATCGCCACCCGCGAATATTCGATTAGCCCGGACATCTGTGTCACCCCCAGCATGTCCTGCCCATCCTGCCATCTTAGAGATGGTGGTGTGTGTGTGTGGTGGTGTGTTGGGTTGGTGTGTTTGGTTGGGGGGGGTTAATTCTAAGGTCTCCAGAAGGGGGTAGGGAATAAGGCAGCCCAGAGAAGTGATCGGCATCCCCTGGAGCCAAGGAGGCCAGCAGGGAGAGGCTTATTGCTCCAAGGGAGCTTCAAATGTGGTCTATTATGTTTATTAAATCAAACGATCAAGGCCCGCCATTGTTACTTCTTTGTCAGAGTAAACCAGATGACAAGGGTTTATTCCTCAAAGACTTGCGTTTAAAACCTTTTATATGCCGTTAATGTAACCGCAGTGTGTTAGTGGGGTAGAAAGCAATCATGTCACGGGCTGTCACAGAGCAGCTACAGACCTTTAGAAGCATAATTCTTAAAAAAAAAGCATGTTTTTGTGTGACCAGGGTGGAAAATTAACACCAACCACCGGCCAAATAATGCTGGTGAATTCTGGCTGTGAGCGGAAGGGGTTGTTTTAAATTCCTCTGGCCACTTTGGCAGGAAACCAGCCATCGTGTGGAGCTTCTTTCTCTCTCTGGAAATCATATTTGGAAGTGCAGTCACCAAATTTAAAAGGTTAACTTCCTTCCCCGCATGTCACAAATGATAGTTTTACCAGCTTTTGTGTACGTTAAGCTCTCTCTCTCTCTCTCCAACGTGTGAGGAATCGGTGGGATTTTGTTTTTGTATTTGCCTTGAGTGAGGACGCATAAACATACTTTTCCTCTGGAATCAATCAGCGTGCCAAGAATAACACGGCCAGACTCCTGGGCTGTTAACAATATTACAAACATCCGGGCTTGTTTAGATTCTGCTGAGAGTGTGAGTGTGCTGCTCAGACTGTTTCAGACCCTCAAACTCGCTCTAATCTACAGTTGGAGCGAGTCTGAGGGTCAGAAGTAATGAAAGTGTATTATTGGGGAGGATCCAAGAGACTTGGACTCGAGTCAGACATCTGTCACAAATGTGCTGACTTGAGACTTGACTTTGACTTGATTACTGAGAGAGACTTCCTGAAGACTGAAGACACTTGAGATTTCAGAGTTTTATGAGAGAATCATAGTTTAATTACAGAACGAGGACTTGGGACAGGGACTTGTGCTGTTAGAACTACATTCTCATGTTTTGCCCTCAAGACTTGAGACTTGCATCAAACTTTCAGCAAAAAAAAAGCAGCTTTGGAAGACTAGAGACTTGGATTAGAGTCAGACTCAAGTCACAAAAATAAGGACCTGGAGCTTGATTTGGAAAGTCTCATGTTTTATCATCAAAGCCTTGTTTGGACAAGACTTGGGACTTGAAAGAGCACCGTGAGACTTGACTTCAAACTTGAAATCAAAAAAACACTCCAATCTCAATTGTTGCCAGTGAGGACTTGAAACCTGATTTAAGACTTGGTTGGAAAATACTTGACTCAGACTTGTTCAAAGGAATTAAAAAAAACTCTGGAGACTTGGACTTGAGTCAGACTTAAATCACAAAAAAATAAGGACTTGGAACTCGACTTGGGCATGACAGCTGTCTTGACTCCTTCGAGATTTGAAAAGATTCATGTTTCGCCTTTAAGGACTCGAGACTTCAGTTGAGACTTTATAGGACAAGACTCGTACTTGCCCGTAAACACTTGAAAACAGCTCTTGTAGACTTGAGTCCAACCAAAGTCACAAAAGTATGAAGACTTAAGTGCTGTGAGAATTAATTTACTCCCTAAAGCAAGTTTTATGCTTTGACCTGGCAGACTTGTGACTTGTGACTTGACTTGGACTTTTTTGGTTGGATAAAGCCATGGCCTTTTCCCCAAAAAGACTCTAAAACAGCTCCAGATGCTTCCATTCAGACAGACCACAGCACGGCTGAATAAGCTTCCACCCAAAATCAACACAGTCAGAAGCAAACAAGTGCAGCAAGTACAAAGGTTGAAGCCTTTTGACGGTGCGACAACATCCCTCCTACATCATGCTACCTTCCCTCTGAAGCCTCGTGCATCTCTGGGAAACAGGTCGTAAAAGGAAAGTTCACAGAGAGTTGACTTCAGCAAGAGCGATGCCTTTAGGGAGCTCAGCCCAGAACTCGTCGCTCTCTGGCCCGACTTGGACGGAAGGCAGCGACGGGAGTGGAGAGGTCAAAGACGTCAATAAGGCGTGGATGGCTGCTCGTTCCTCCTTACTCTCTTCCATCATTCCTCTCTTACTCTATTCCAGAAAACTCTCAAGGTTTTTGTTTTAATTAATTTAATTAATCATTGGATACTTTGCGAGCCACTCTTCTAGTCTCAACATCGACGTGTGTCAAACAGTCCGTGGCCTTGGAGCGACTTGCCTTCGAGATACAGTACGAGCCGCCTTGGACGCAAGCTCTTGCGTAATTCTGACTCGCCTTGTGCGTTTATAACAGGCCTGGATATGTAACACACAAACAACCACACACACACACATGATTGGATGATTTAATGTGAGTTGTGCATGACGATGCCTTCGTGTGACGATGCTAGGAGTGGGATAAACAGCACGTCAGTGTTCGTTTTTCTCGGTTTCCCTGCCAATGCACGGCGCTGTCAGCGACTGTATTTGTCTATGAGCAACATAAAAACACCAACCCTCCCTCCCTCCTCCTCTTCCTCCTCCACCTCCACCTCCTCCTCTCCCGGCCATCTGCCTGATACAACCACTACATGGACCTTGTGTGTGGTCGCCTGCTTTCTCCTCGCGGTATGGAGGGCGAGAGAGTTCAGTAAGGCACAGGAGGGTTGTGGGATCCTGCTGCCTCTGTCCTTCCCCCTTTGCCACAACCCTCCCCCCTTTTTCATTCCCCCTCTTTCTGTCTCTTTTTCATCCCCTCTGCTCGTGCAAATATCTCCCCCTCTGAAACAGATGCCCTTAATTCCTCTGGCTCTACATTATAAGATCTGCCCAAATCCTGAGGGAAGAAGAGGAAGAAGGAGGGAGGAAGAAGAAAAAAAGGGGGAGTCTATTCTCCTTATTCCTCTCACACATATACACATGTGTGAAATGAGATTATGAGATGAAATAAAAGCACCAGCTCACCTGACAGCATTTTATTTTTAAAGAGATTTTTAGAGGGAGGAGGGGATTCCATGATGTAAACCAGCCAGAGGCATCAATCTCGCCCCTCAAGCGCTGACAGCGTGGATATGAAACCCCCCTCCTCTTCCTTCTCCTCCTCCTCCTCCTCCTCCTCTTCTTCTGGAACACACCCTGGTTTGGATGTGATTAACCCAGATGCCACCAAAACAGAAATAATAATAAAAAATTAAAAAAAAGGCAGAAGAAAATCCTACCTGTTTTTGTGTGTGTGTGGTCGTCCGTGATGCCAAACACATCCAGTCCTGTGGAGTAGTATCCACGCGTTCTCCCCTGTCTCTCTCTCTCTCTGTCTGTCTGTCACACACAAACACACACACACACAGTCAGTCAGTCAGGGAGGCAGGCGAGTACATCCACACAACACACGCTCTTCTCTCTGTATGCCTCTCCCCTCTCTGCTCCAGCTGAGATCCTCCCTTGCCTCCCTCCTCGCTGCTGCTGAGTCTCCACCCTTTCAGCCAAACGGTCAGGCTGCAAGATCCTCCTCTTTGTCCCTCCCTCCTTCTTTCTGTCTTCTCTTTTCTGCTATCTAGACTCACTCCCTCCGTCTCCCAGAGGTCCACAGGAAAAAGCCTTGACTGTCTCTCTAAACACCTACAGTAAACAAATGCATCCCAGGAAAGCTGACAGTCTGGACGAGCTGGATTTCCACCTTATATATACATAAATATCCATACTGGTCCCTGAATGCTGTTTCAGCTGCTCATTTTCCCTCCTCTTAGCTCACATTTAAGTCACGTTTCTGCCAAATGAAGGCGACTTTGTATGAATCAAGACATTACATGAGAAAGAAATTCATTCAACCCTCAACAACAACAACAACAACAACAACAACAACAACATCCTGCATTGCACACACGCGACATATGCCCCGCCAGAGTTGAGGCTTTTAATCTTTAGACCACTACAGTGAAGACATCAAAGATTAAAACAAAAAAAAGAGAGAGAGAGACACTCCCCAGCAACCACACACTGACACTGGCACAACACGCACAAACAAACAGGATGCTGCACACGTTGCTCTTTCACGTCTGAGTGTTTATGTACGGGAGTTTCTGCATGTACAGGATACACTTACTTATGGCAAAAATCAACAAGATCAAGTGTGTGTGTGTGTGTGTGTGTGTGTGTGTGTGTGTGTGTGTGTATGCAGCTGGTGTGTATATGAGAAGGGGTGTTGTTACCTTAACCTCAAGTGTTATGTTTTTGGTCCCGTATGTTTGTATACGTATGTAGCAGTATTTTGTATAAATTAAGAGATTTCAGTAAAATATGGTTATTGATTTTTCATTATTTTTGGTGCCATTTTGTTCAATTTAAAACTTTAAATGTACGCTCATAACTAGTAAGGCGTTTCTTGATTAATGTAGTAGGCAAAGCCCTCTTCTGTCTGAAAGAAAATGCCATTTTTAAAGGTCCAGTGTAACATTGAGGAGGATCTGCTGGCAGACATGGAATAAAATATATATACTATAAATATTGTATGTTTTCATTAGTCTATAATCACCTGAATATAAGAATTGTGTTTTTGTTACCTCAGAATGAACCGTTTTCATCTATAGACTCTATAGTTTGCCTTTTGTGGGGGCCGCCATGTTGAACAAACTGGTTTCTACAGTAGCCCAGAAGGGACAAACCCAAAACTGGCTCTAGATTGGGCCATTAACACCTACACACTGGTCCTCTAATGTTTCTAGTAATGTTAGCATATTTGTAAATCTAATGACATTAACATCATCCTCAGCTGTATTTTGTGTTTATTCTAATTAGCAAATGCTACAATGCTAACAAGCTAAAATGGTGATGATGGTAAACATTAGCATATTAGCATTTTTATCATGACTATGTTAGCATGTTAACAGTTTTGTAGATGCTTGTCAAAACATTTCTCCATATTAAATAAAATTTTCACCAAATTTGGCAAATTAAATATTCCTATAAGCCTGGAAAAGGTTTACATTTACATTATTTTTAATTTATTATATATATTTCCTATAGCTTACAGTTAAATTTGCCATAAAACTGCCCAAATTCAGATGCTGTGTCCACACATCTGACACGACATGGAAATTCTCCAAAAAATGCTGCCATCATCCACTCCACTCTACATTTTTGTACACTATATGCAAGGTTTCTAGCTTTTCCAACTGTATATACACGTGTTCAAATGTCCATGCGTATCTATGCATCCATGTTTGTGTGAGCGTACTGTACAATCTGCCTGCAGGTAAACTCAAATGTTACTCATCTTCCCCCTACTGTCTGCACCGAACGTCATGTTTTCTGTGAATCACATTTTCCTCAGCTCCATTCATGCTGATGTTATTCTCTGTGAAACTTACAGTAACAGTACACATCCAAGGAAAGAGAGAGAGAGAGAGTGGATGAGGAGGAGGAGGAAGATGGAGAATTAATGAGTCATGGTTCCTGTGGAGGCGAACACAGGAAGCCTCTGTCACCAGGATACCACACTGATCTGTGATAGCCCTTCCTGGGTCCCCTAAGCCAGTCGTTTCCAACCTTTTTAGCCCCGACGTCCCCCCGGCGGCGAAAGCAGACAAGCTCATTTAGCTCTTCATTGGCGCCATCCGTCGTGATCCAAATTTGTTCTAATGAATGGATCATAAACTGGATGTTATTTACCACTATTCATATGAAATTATTATTGCTGCAATATGTTTTCATACAATTGAATCATCAGTGCTTTGTTCATGTTCGCATTCGTCCGACTTGGAGTGGAAGAGGCCGGATGCTTCAACCATTTATCCATCACTAATAGTCAACGTTCACTGCTTCAGCTGTTTATCCGTTAGCCTACTTTAAGTTAACTATGTTAAACATTTATCCATTACTTTTAGCTATTTCAACTCTTCCATTTGAGCTAACTGTTAATCGTTTGGTCATTACTTTTAGCTAACTATCTCAATTGTTTATCCATTACTTTCAATTGTTTATCCTATTATTTGCAATCATTAATCTGTACTTAGCTGTTGCAACACTGCTCTCTTGCTAATTAGTTTTCCCGTACCTCCTGTTAACTGCAGTTACCCCTCAGAGGTACAAGTACACCTGGTCGGGCATCATTGCTACGTTAGTGGGTTCAAGCCTTGTTGAGCATCAGCAGAGACAGTAACAGCGAGACTCCTCCCTCCCTCCCTCCATCGCTGGAGAAGAGATAAATCCAGAGATTTGTTTATTTGTAATCTGATTACTATGCTTTATTATCGGCTCTGGGGATCATCTCTGAACTTTGTGGTGTCAGTGCAGCTGTTTTGGTTAATAGGCTGGTTTATTAAGTGCCGTTAATCCACTTCCACAGGCAGATGTGGTGACTTGCAGTCTCAATATCACACAGGCCTTTTTCTACAGTAAAAACAGTGTTGTTTTGTGTGAGCATGGAGCTGAAATACACGTCAGCTTTTCAGAACTGGGAGAAACTAGCTTGGATTGAGATTCACCGGGTTTTGATGAATGCGTTGTAAGATTTTGTAGCCCGATCCTTCAGTTTAGGTTAAAATACAACCATGTTTAACAAGGTTTTCCCTCAACAATTGTGATTTTGAGGAGGAGGATGAAGGATGCGAGCAGTGTGTGTGTGTGTGTGTCCGTGTATTGGCTGCGTGCTATGAGGGGGGGGTTATACGACGTGGCGGTGGCGGCGGAGGAAGAGGGGGGAGGCCCTGGCATTTCATTTTCTGATTTGCGACCATCTGGCTCATCCAGGCAGCTGCCGGCTCGAGCCGCCGCATGCTTTTGCCCCAATGCCCCATGGGATTTACGGGAGAGGTTCACCCACCACCTTGTTGGAGACACCTGTCACCTAATATCTCAAGACAATCGCTCAAATGATCGCACCACCACACAACACACACACAACAACCACACACACCACATGACTGAGGAGATAAGATGTATGGAAGTAGGGCTGTAAAACCTCCAGGAATTAATCAGACATTAGAGGCTTCGTTAGGGTCAGCACATGATGACCTTTAAATTAAAAAATAATAATAACAATAATAATACAAATGCATGAAAAGCTGTCTGAACGGAGCTACACCTAAATCACCAAGACAAAAGAAAGGACAGGGAGAAAGAGGGGAGGAGGGGAGGAGGGGAGGAGGTGACAGAGAGACGGAGAATGGATTTCCCCCCTCTCTGTGTTGCCATGGCGACAGCAGTGGATGGTGGATGACTGATTTCCTGTACAGCTGTGGAGCTCGGAGGGGAGAGAGAAAGAGAGAGAGAAAAAAAGAGACAGGGAGAGAAAGGGGGGAGACACGTTATCTGTGGTGGAGGAAGGATGTGAGGAGGAAAGCATCCATGTTTTCTCTTAACATTGTACATCAGCCTCTCGGTGGTGATTCATGTTTTCTGCCTGGATGATTTTATTTATTTATTTATTTTAATATTGACTCTTTGTTTACATGATTTCAGGATTTTCTTTGAATTAATAATCTGCAGCCAGAGGTTAGTGTGTGTGTATGAGTGTGTGTGTGTGTGTGTGTGTGTGGATATTTCATATTATATTCAAAACTGCACAATAAACCCGAATAAGTGAACTGAAGTTTGTGTAAAACAAGTGATCTGGATGAATTCTTGAGGCAGACTTATTTTCTGCTTTAGGGGAATTTTTATACAATTCTCTGTCTGTATTATGTATTTTTTTTATAATTATTAGGCATCTTTTTTGACTTATTTAGTGTTTTCTTGACCCTGACACTTTGTTCTATTAAACAATTTACATGTATTAACAGATTTAGGCCTTCTGTGTATATTTTTAAAGAGAGGAGAGTGCAATACAATTGGAAGTGAAAAAGGAAGTGTTTGCGAAGCTTTCAGCCACATGTAGTGGTCTTCCGCAGCAGGTGGTGTTACTGTATAATGCAGCGTTCAGTTCAAAGGCAGCAACGAGGTTTAAAGTTGGCCAGCAAACTGTGTGACAGATAAACATTATAATGCTTTTATTTAAGATCTTTTAGGCTGATTATACGGTCGTAAAACAAAACACAATACCTAAACAATACTCTGCCTTTGGATACTCTTCACAGAATATGAGAGGAAATGCTACCAATAAAATCATTTCAACTAGTTTATTTAAAAAAATATAATTTATTTAGATTATTTAAACTTTATACAGTTTCTTGTGAGTCTCTGTCGGCCTCCTAGTGTATGTATTAATAAAATCTGTATGTATGAATAAAATCTGTATGTATTAATAAAATACTGACATCAATTATAAATTAATCCACAATTTAACATTTCTAAATCCATTATTGTTAGTTTTAGTCAGAATGGCAGACTGCTACTCTGCTAGTGCTGAGCTAGTTAGCTTTAACACTGGTTTAGTGTTAAGGTAGTTAGTTTTAACTAACTTGGTTCTAACCCTAATCCAGTTAATCAATATAGTTATTATCAACTATTATTGACATATCATTGATAACAACAAGTAATTTTTGCTTGAGCTTTAGCTGTGGCTATCTCACCAGCTAACTTTAAATTGATAAAGTTGAGTGATAATAATTGATATAGCGCTCTTGAAAAATATATTTTTTAGCTCTCTTTTTATTTAGTTAATTAATTTTTATAAATAATATTTAATTTTCACTCGCACTCACTTTATGTAACAGTCAGACTGGAAATAAAAGCAGGAATAATAAAGATCTCCCTCTCAGTTGAGACACAGGATGCTAATCCCCTGCTGCTGTGCAAGAGTCAGCGCCTGGTCAATAGTGTCACCTGGATTTATGAGGAAGATTTAACAGCTGAGGAGGAGGAGGAGGGGGAACCAAGGACGAGGCCAGATAAGCTCTTATATTATATTATCATATTATATAAAAACAAAATGAAGTCACTCCGTGCCTAAATAAAAGCTCAATTCTTACTGTTTTTATATATTTCTGTCACTTTTGTAATGTATTTATTATATTTGTATTATATTGTTGTTGTAGTACTTGTTGGAGCAATAGTTTTGATGACACTGGGCACTAATTAGTTATAACCTGCCCAGGGACTATGGATGGAAATTAGTTTATTAGCTAACTCCAGCACATTTACATTGAAGTGTAAACAGTAATGTTGATTAATGTGTAAATAAATAAATAAACTCCACTGTCTTAGTAGCCAATAACTCGGGATTATATAGATAACAATTATATTTATGTGACTCATTTTCTGTCATAATAAACTTAATAATGTGTACTGTGTTTGAGCTTATTCATTAAATGTAATTAAAGGTACACAGAGCCGAGGATGTGAACAGCACTGCCGGTGTCTCATGTGACAGACCATATCGCCACCTTCAGGTCAAACTGACACCTACATGTAAGAGTGTTAACACCAGAGGGCAGCACAAACTAATCAAACACACAGTCCCTCTCTAAGAGAAACAGATAATTACATTTATTCTATTTTAATGGTAGTTTTACTATATACAGAACATTAATTTTATGTTTCTTATTGAAGTTTCTTGGGAAGGTTAAAGACCTCGAGGGCTCACAAATAAACTGAGTGGAAAATCAATATAATTTTCTACTTGATGTCTTTTTGAAATTACTTTCCCTGTCTCTCTCTCTCTCTCTCTCTCTCTCATATATATATATATATATATATATATATATATATATTTTTTTTTTTTTTACACCC